TCTTACAAATGCTTTTACTGGGTAACTGACTCTGTTTCAAGATCTTGGTTTTATCTCCACTTAGTTGTAATAAAGTAAATATATGTGTTTGTCCTCATCTAATATACCTGCTTATATCCTGATATATGTAGGACCCTCATTCCAACCCTAGTGGTTATATAAGTTTATATATAAAAGCCAGGGCATGTACTTTGTGAACTTGACTATTTGTCTCCTCATTTTATGTTATATTATACATGAGTGAAAGCCATAGTCTCCTGAACAGTGCTGGTGTCAATATTCAATTATTAAAATAAATCATGTTAGTTCTGCCCTTTCTGGGTGATTCAGTTGACTGAAATGCTGCCCAATACATGAAAAAGTTTTGGGTTTGATTCCTGTCAGGGGACACACCTAGGTTGCTAGTTTGATCCCTAGTTAGGGCACTTAGGAAAAGCAAATGGCCCACATTTCTGTCTCACATCAATGTTTCTTTCTCCTTTCCTCTCTCTCTAAAAATCAATAAACATATCCTTAGTGAGGATTAAAAAAAATTATGTTAGTTCTACTATATAAATCTTACAATCTTTCAATATCAATAAAATGAGAAAGTTGAGTCCAAGACATTTTTAAGAGTTTGTTTTCGCTAAAACCCAATATCTCTGTTTCCATATTTGAAGTTGTTGATATTTAAAATTCCCTAATGGAGCTGTTGACTCAGAGAAATATATCAATAGAAAACATAATTTTGTTTACCATAATTTTCCCAAGTAATTTTGTTCATAACAGACTTTCAAATCTGGTGTCCATCCTTGTCTTTCCACGCCAGAATCCAGGGAGTCTCCTAGAATCCTCTTTCCCCACCATATAGCAAAGTATGATGTTTTTACTGGTTGACTTTTATTTCTATATGTTGAAGGTGGGAGAGGAATTGTGTGTCCTTTAACGGTTTTTAATTTTCTTTTGTCTCAAAGGATCCCGAATTTTCCCTTACTCTTTTTTTTTCTCCTTCACTGTATAGTTACCAAAAGCCCCTCTTTTTCTCTTCCTTTGTTGTTGTTGTTGTTGTTTTTTTTAAAATATATTTTATTGATTTTTAACAGAGAGAAAGGGAGAGAGAGAGAGAGCTAGAAACGTCGATGAGAGAGAAACATCAACCAGCTGCCTCTTGCACACCCCCTACCGGGGATGTGCCCACAACCAAGGTACATGCCCTTGACCGGAATCGAACCTGGGACCTTTCAGTCTGCAGACCGATGCTCTACCACTGAGCCAAACTGGCTTCGGCACCTTTGTTGTTTTTAAGAAGCTTCATTGGGACAGAATTTACCCACAGAATTTATAATAAATGGTTTTTATTATAGCCACAAAGCTGTGTGACCATCACCACAATCTAATCTGAGAACATTTTGTCCTTCACAAAGAAACCCTGTTGCCATATCAGTCACTCCCATTCTCTCCCACCCGCCCTAAGCAATCGCTTTGTGCTTTTTATCCCCACAGTTTTGTCCTTTCTGGACATTTCTTATAAATGCAATCATATGAGAGGTGATCTTTGGCAGTCTTTCCAAAGAAATGTGCCTCCTCACTCCCTGTATGCACCAGAAGCTTCTTTCCTAAAGCACTGTGTTCAGGGACCAGAACACCTTTTCATCATTTATAGTTTTTACAAAATTGCCTCTCTTCTCCATGAAGGCTTTCGCTGGAAGCATGGAAGATAATTGATTGGCACCTCTGTTGTTTTTCTTAGTTCATTTTCTAGGTAGCTGGAGGTTGGATGTCACTGTCTTCTAATTATGCTGAAGGCATGGGTTTTGTACAGTTTTATTTGTTCATTTTGTTGTTCTCTAGTGTTTTGCGTTCGTTTTTTCTTTTGGAAGAAATGTTGGAGAATTCTTATTTACATTGCTGCCATTGTCTTGGAAACTGAATTCCTATAACTTTTTTTCTGGGCTCCAAATATGTGAAGCCCCAATCAAGATTAATTTGGAAATTTACTATATTACTAGCAAGGCTTACGTTCGGTTCTAACTTTACTTATTTGCTTTTTCCAGATAGAGTCTAATGGAATAAAATCCTCATCTCAAGAGACTGCATTTTCAGGTTATGACTCAGTATTATTTTTGTGAGACGCATTTTGGAAGAACAATACTGGGTCTAAGAGATATTTCCTGAATCATTTTGTAATTCAGAAGTCATCTTTCTATTATAAAAAAATATTGTTTAGATTTAATATAAAAAACTGTCTTAGAGGATTTCTATATTTCTAAAGATATTGGGAAAGTAGGAGATAACAAATATAACCTTTCCTCAGGAGATAAATGTAATAATGAAAGGTGGAAAGACATGAAATATATCTTAAAATTAAGGAGCAATAATCATTCTTATATATTCATTAACATTAGCTTATTTTGTGATTTCTGAATTACTGATTTTCATAGAATACAACAACAAACTGGTAAAACACACACACACACACACACACACACACACAAAAAAAACACTAAAAAACAAAAACAAAAAAAAAACACCAAAAAACAAAACAAAACAAAAGCCTTGGCAATCATATAAAGTCTGACTCCATTAAAAATAATAAAACAAATGAGTCAAACAAATTCCTTAAAAATCACAAACATGTTAGGGATGAAGCTGAATTTGAATCAGTTAGCTTTTGCTGTGTAACAATCCAACCCAAAACACAGTGGCCTAAATGATCATTGACATGGCTCATAATTCTGGGGTCGGCAATGTGGATGCAGCTCAGCTTAATGCATCTCCTGCTGGCCTTCTCCCATGTATCACATTCAGCTGTTGGATTGACTAGAATCTGAATTACCTAAATAATCCCTCTCACATATTTGTAGTTTCACAGTCTCTTGGCCAGGGTCACAGGATAACTGGGCCATGTAGCTCTCAACAACCAAGAGGCTAGCCCGGATGAGTTCATTGGCTGGCAAGTGCAGGGTTCTCAAGAGCAGAGGGGTGAAAGCTGGAAGACCTCTTGAGACTTAGACTTGTGCTAGCACAGCTTTCCTTCCATTGAGTCCTATCGGCCCGAGCAAGTCATGAAGGCAGACCAGATTCAAGGGGTGGGAAATCAAATTCTGCCTCCTCCTGAAAGGAACTTCTTTTGTTTTCCCAATTTCACAACCCCATTTAGTTAATTTCCGGATAAGCAATTGGATAAGATAGCTTACTCCTCTACTTAAGAGTAACTAATTGTTTAATGAATAGTAGGTGTCTCTATCCAAAAGGTTATACATGAAATGGAGCTTGAAAAATGAGTTTTCCAGACTGAAATGTAAAAATTGTATCTAGATATAAAGAAAAAAATATGTGGGAAATCTGTCGAAACCGGTTTGGCTCAGTGATAGAGCGTGGGTCTGCAGACTGAAAGGTCCCAGGTTCGGTTCCGGTCAGGGGCATGTACGTTGGTTGCAGGCACATCCCTAATAGGGGGTGTGCAAGAGGCAGCTGGTCAGTGTTTCTCTCTCATCGATGTTTCTAGCTCTCTATCTCTCTCCCTTCCTCTCTGTAAAAAATCAATAAAAATATATTTTAAAATATGTGGGAAATCACAGGATTTAAGAGAGAATGATATGCTTTGGGTTAGTGAGAAAATCAACATGGCTCATGGGTTAGATCATGGGGCAGAGAATGGAGAAATGTGGTGGGTGATAAAGCTGGAGGGGTTTTCTGATAAACAGGGTGTCTTTCCATTCAAACCAGAGGCTCTATTACCCAGTTTCATTCAAGGATATGTGTGTAGTTCCCACGAAGCAATAAGGTAGAATTTCCCTTTTGGTAAGGTTTTCTGTCCTCCCCCATTTCCCATCACAACAGGAAATCTGAACAAATACAAGTTCTGTGAATTGAAGGATACTAGTGTATAGTGGACATTCTATGGAAATCCAGGGAAAGGAATTTTATTATCAAAACAAAGGACATGAGGGCAGCATGAACCAGTACTTTGGGACTGAGAACGAGCCCAGTAGTCTGTATAAGTCATGTCATCAATGAGTCGTAGATGTAAGTGACAGTCCAGAATTTCAGAGGATATAACATAAAGCAGTCAGCCTACCAGATGGCTCTAGCCCAGGAATTCCTCTCTCTGAATGAGCTCAGAAAGTGAGACATCATGAACCCTGCAGGCAGGATTTGATGGGAGACTTTGATGGACTTGATAAGAACAGAGGAAAAGGCAAAATCAATACAATTACCAAATTCCTTGTGAACTCAGCGCATTACTTACTACTGGAACTCAAATGGCAATAATTTTTAACTAGATTTGCAGCCCTATAAAATTTTATGAGCTAAATAATGTCCTTAAAAACAAAACAAACAAAACAAAACAAAAAACCCCCACAAGATTATAGTTATTACTTCTTTCTTAAAGATGATAAAATAGCCCTAGCCAGTTTAGGTCAGAGGATAGAATGTCAGCCTATGGACTGAGAAATCCTGAGTTCGATTTTGGTCAAGGGCACATGCCCAGGTTGTGGGCTCGATCCTCTGTAGGGGGCATGAAGGAGGCAGCCAACCAATGATTCTCTCTTATCATTGATGTTTCCATCTCTCTTTTCCTCTCCCTTCCTCTCTGAAATCAATAAAAATATTTTTTTAAAAGATGACAAAATAATGTAAGTAACATGAAATGGTACCAATAAAATGTTATGTTACTAGCATGTCCTTTTGTTTAAATGGAAACAACAGCTTTTACTTGTTCATGTCCATCTAGTACAATCATCTATCGATATTTCTCTAACTTAAAATGGGTGTCATCATACAGGTGGGTCCCAAAAAGTGTATACACACTTTGAACAATTGATTCTAAGGTTTCCTTCTTTTCAGAGTAACCCAGTGGAATGAATAATTATTTAGAGTGTATATACATTTCTGGGAGGAGGGACCCTGCACATACCATCTCATAGTTCCTATGTGCATCCTGCCCTGTGTCTTCAGCTGAGTCCCTACTTACAAATCAAATGACCTGTTTGGTTTTTTGTGTTTCTTTGTTTCAGAGGAGCTCATCATCTCCTTCACAGTGTCCATGGCCATCGGGCTGGTCCTCGGAGGACTGATTTGGGCCCTGTGGGTCTGTCTGTCCCGAAGAAGAGCTAGTGCCCGCATCTCCCACTGGAGTTCAAGCCGGCGATCCAGGTCGTCTTACTCCCACGGCCTCGCCAGGCCTGGGTTCTACCGCCACAGCGGCTATGAGCGCCGCAGCAACCTCAGCCTGGCCAGCCTCACCTTCCAGCGGCAGGCCTCCCTGGAGCTGGGCAACTCCTTCCCGAGGAAATCCAGCTTCAGGGCGTCCACGTTCCACCCGTTTCTGCAGAGCCCACCCCTCCCCGTGGACACGGACAGCCAGGTGATGACTCTCCCCGCATCCCCCACCTCCCCGGCCCTCCTCACCGCGCAGAGCCTGAGGCGCCCCGACTTCCACTGGTCCAGCAGCAGCCTCCCCGTGGGCCTGGCCCCGCCGCCCCCGCCCACCTACGAGTCCATCATCAAGGCGTTCCCAGATTTCTGAGGAGGTGTTCTGGTGAACTTGGTTCTTTCCTTCCTGGTCCTTTCTTGAAGGGAAAGCATAGATGGACTATAAACAGGATTTGGAGGACAATGGCTCAAACGACCAAGGAGTTCCCAAACTGGAAAGCTGAACACCACGATGTGCATTTTCTTTGATCCCCTTTTTCCTTGTCTCACAAATAAGTACTGTTCTCACAAATCGTTATATATTTGCGTATTTTGTACTCCACGTGAGGGTTTTTAAAGGTGGTGATTCTAATCTAAGAACTATCAGTAATGCAGTATATGTATTTTAGACTAAAATAAAAAAAAAGATAGGTATGGTTTACAATCCCCATTCGCTGTCTGAGCAGTGTTTCCCAAACTTTTGACATATGTGTACCCCTTCTATAATTTTCGTAACGCTGAGTAGCCCTCGTATTCATGAGAACGTAGAATTAGGCGCAGCTAAGCACGGTGCAGTGCAAATCCCCACCAAACTCCGGTGCAACGCATACCCCCACCAAACTCTTCCCGTACCCCTGGGGGTGCGTGTACCACACTTCAGGAAATACTGATAGGGTATAAGAAATCAGTGTCACTTAAAACGTGTTCTGGCCTAAGGAATTTTTAATTTTGCTTTCTTTGGAATGACAAGTGAGTGATTTCACAGTCTTGGATTTCTCATGAATTATATGGACACAAAATGAAGGAACATAGACAATCCCAAAGTTCCCTGATTCCACTCACGCAAAGGATGGGCCTCAAGGCAAAGAAGCTGAACTCTGTGGGTGTGACAGGACACTTCCATTTTGACTTTACTTTGGTGCTTTTCCTCAGAATCGTTTTCCACACATCATGGAGGCAGAATCCCTGGATTTACCCACATGATAATTTACTTTCTTCACTGTCGTCATTATGTTTTTAGAAAAACAACAGCCACAAATCCAATGTATTTAACCTAAAAACATTTTTTTCTAAGGGATAAGTATTATGTCTTAGATTTAAATCTAGCAATAGGGAAAGCACTTTATCTAGAGAATTTCTCCTGTCATTTCATAAACAAATAAGTTGGAATGAGTGGGGACAACGTCCGTTATTGAAACAGATGTTACACCCGTGAAGAATTCTCCTTCCTGGATTGATTCATCAGGCATCGTCCCTCATATGCATCTCTGTGCATTTAACCTCAGATTCTGTGAAGAGTCTTTATAAAGGACTGAACCATGCCATAACTGCGGGCAGTTATTTAAGGAGTTCACTTCCACAAGATGGTCATCCTCTTAAAGAAAGGTACATTCCCACATGTGGGTGCCAGGGACTTCAGGGGCCAGATGCCTGTGGCTGCCCTTTTTCATTTAGGGACACAAGTTCACTGAATAATGACTCTACAGGCCTGTGCTTTATTTCTGATACAGTGAATATTTTGCTTATGTCACTGTTTGTTTGCTCCTATGAACATTGGGATTTTGGGTGAAGGAAACTGTACCCTCATTTTAGTTTCTGCAGTGCGGTGGTCCCAGCTACTAAGGTATGGCTTAAGACTGTAATGATTTTTACATAATAAGATGTTTTACATAGCATTTTTTACTAGTGTTATTTAGCTTATATTTATATCATTTCTTAAGGACAATTATTCTTACTGATGTCTATAGATGTCTATAGATAAGTTCTCTTTAATGCAATATACCAGGAAAAAAAAAAAAAAAAAAGGAAAGAAAGAAAAAAAGCTCACAGGATAACCAATTTGTTCTAAATTTTTTTTTTTTTTTTTTTGTGTGTGTGTGTGTGTGTGTTTTAACACATTTAGCAATCATCATATAGCCACATAAAATTTCAAGGGATCATTATCTTGATAACAAAGCTATCTTGCATGTATGTCATTCTTATTGTTTAACATGAGAAGTGAAACATTTCATATTGGGAGTAAAAACTTTTATATCTCACAATCAAAATGAGTGTCTTGTATATATTGTGCAATGTCTGAAATGTGAAATTAAAGCACAACCTGCAGACTTTTTTAGTTGTATTTTTATTTGAAATGTTTAATATTTTTTATGAAACAAATTAAACTGATGTTCATTTTGATTCACGGGTTATTTCTTGAATTACTTTGAATATCTCCTATTTACTTTGGCCTTCAAACCCAATTTAGACCACTCTTTATTCCTGAGACACAAACATTATTTTATATAAAAATGTATTTTTAAAAAAGGTGACATCACCAATAAATGAAACATGATTTTTCAATGAGTCAATGCATATGGAAAATATTATAAAAAAACATTAGTTTATATTCCAAAATTACTTAATTAACTTTTTTAGAGAATAAAGTGTTTTTTTTTAATTAAGATATAATTGGCATATAAAATTGTATTAGTTTTAGTTGTACAATGTAGTGATGTGTACAACAATACAAATCAGGCTTTGTAGGTAAGCTCCAGCTTAGCTGAGAACAGATAGTGGAGGGCTGATACTTAAATTGCTTATTGATTGCAAAGATAGGAGGAAGTAGGGCTGGCAGCTGGTGAGTAACAAATGACCAAATCTTCCTGAAGGTCTCAGAGTAAAGATATTCAGTGGGAAGACAGGGAGAGAATCTTCTGTGTGTGTTTTTTTTTTTTTTTTTTTTTTTTTTTTTTCCATAGCTATCTGGCTCTCTGGTTTCCAGATCTTTCTGATTTATTTTTGTGCTCCCAAATTTCGCTTGTAGGGGACAAGTATTTGTCTTGCTTGGCCAACACATATTTCAATTTTTTGCTTACCTAACACTTTAATTTTCTTAGGGGAATAATTCTTTATGTGTCACAATTTTACTGTGACTCTCTGTCAAAGTTCCCCCACCTGGTCTCTTCCCCTCCTTTCTGTTTATCAAAATGGAGAAAATTCCTTCTTTTTCAGTCCATACTATGCATTTCCTTTTTGCCTTCTTAATGATTTTATTGCTTCAAACATTCCTTCTCTCTCTGGTATTATTACTACTATTTTAAGTTTGGACCCTTGAAAACAGACTCTAAAATGGTCATTTGTGTGCAGAAATTTTGATGGGGTTGGGGAGCTCTCAGCAAGGAATATCTGTGAATGAGTGAAGGGACAATGTTGGGAAGAAGAGGTTCAAATGAATGGCATGTCCAAAAGAGGCAGCAGCCAATCATATAGAGCACATGCGTCAAACACAAGGCCCGCGGGCCAAATCCGTCCCGCCAGGCCTTGCAATGTGGCCCGCACCGCGCTGTCATCACTGCACTCCGCTGCGTTTCCATCACAATGACAGTTTATGACTGTTCAGTAAACCATTCAGCCCGCGATTTAGACTGGATTTTAGATTTTGGCCCCTTCTCTGATTGAGTTCGACACCCCTAATATAGAGAGAGCTAGACTGTCCCTTCAGAATTGTCCCTAAGTGAAACAAAGGACCAAACAGTGGTTAGTATTAGTGTTAGTGTTAGTGTTAGTGTTAGTGTTAGTGTTAGTGATAGTGTTAGTGTTTGTTAGTGTTAGTGTTAGTGTTAGTGTTAGTGTTAGTGTTAGTGTTAGTGTTTGTTAGTGTTAGTGTTAGTGTTAGTGTTAGAGATAGGATTAAGTTAAGGCTGGGGGAGGGTGAGGGTTAAGGTTTAGGTCTGAGTGACCTCTGAATGAGGTGATATGGGGTCACACACTGTGAATGGGGCTTCCAGGAGCTGCCAGTCAGGTTAGACAATGACTATTCCTTGGGCATGAGGCTTTTTGAGAAGTTCTAAAGTGACAAAGACTCTCTCCTTGACCAAATGCCACTCTAGCTCCCAAATTCTTTTTTCAAATAGGCCCTAACTTTTCAGCCTCCATGTATGTTTCTGCATTGTTCACTTTTAGCAAAAATCCTGCTAAGTTTAACCATAATACTCCATCCTTGCTATCTGATAACTCTTTTTAATTATATATTTTTATTGATTTCAGAGAGGAAGGGAGAGGAAAAGAGAGAAATAAGCATCAATGATGAAAGAGAATCATTGACTAGCTGCCTCCTGCATGCCTCCACTGGGGATGGAGGCCACAACCCAGGCATGTGCCCTGACCTGGAATTAAACTATACCTCCCTTCATAGGTCAACGCTCAACCACCGAGTCACACCAATCAGTCACTATCTAATAACTCTTGATGTCTAATCAGGTTCCTTACCCTCCACCATCTTCCCAGGGGCTGTCTGATCTCCCTGGCCTACCTTTGATAAGAATACTGTTAGGCCAATTTAATTAGGATCCCTCCTTACCGCTGATGCTTCCTCTCATTGTCCCTCAATTGAGCCTCACTCTATTCAAGTCTTTGGTTATAAATTCTCACTTTTCCTTACTGTATTCAGGATTGAACCAGTTTTTCTATATCGAGGTCTGTTTTCCCCTACTGTAATTGTTTTTCTCAGTAAACTATGTTTTTAGCACTCTAACTACTTTCCAGATGGTGTGTGTGTGTGTATGTGTGTGTGTTGTGTGTGTGTGTCTGTGTGTGTGTGTTTCAACAACACTCATTTTGACTTCTCCAGTGACTGCCAGGCTATTGGTTGTCACAGATACTGGGTTTGCAGGGCTGCTGATTTTCAAACTACCACAGAGCTGCCAAGAAAGAACTAAGAATGGGCAAGTTAAAATGCCACAGGGCCCATTGTCCTTATCAAGATTCTGTTGTTTTCCTTAAATAAATGCTCCCTGGGTTGATACAAATCTTCAGTTAATTTCCAGAGTCCTGAAAATGTTAGAGCTATTTTTTTTTTTGCCCAGTGTTCTCATTATCTTTATGAAGGAGAACATTTCCAGAGGTTCTTATTCCATCGTTCTGGCAGGGCTTCTGCTTATTGATATCTTGGTGTTCAGATAATCATGCTATAAACATCTATTGGCATGAATGCATAATTTCTAAAACTTAGAATGAGAGCCCATCAGCTCTCCATGGTAGTGATTTCTCCAGGTTGCACTTTTCTTGTGATTTAAATGATAGGCAGGAGTGAAGACCATCCTTTAGAATAGGGGTGTTGAACTCAATCAGAGAAGGGGCCAAAATCTAAAATCCAGCCTAAATCGCGGGCCGAATGGTTTACTGAACAGTCATAAACTGTCATTGTGATGGAAACGCAGCGGAGTGCAGTGATGACAGCGCGGTGCGGGCCACATTGCAAGGCCTGGCAGGACGGATTTGGCCCGCAGGCCTTGTGTTTGACACATGTGCTTTAGAAGGAGTTCACTGATGTTAATGGCTTAGCCATGCACCTCTCATGAAACAGAAAGTGTAATACCTACTGATGGGTAAAAAAAACCTATCACATTACATCTCAATTTAAAAATTTGGATCATATATCCCAAAGCTTTCATTATTCAGACTCTCCAGAATAAATCTCCCA